TAGAACTGAAACCTTCAGTGTTTACTATTCATCATTTATTTTCATATAGTTGAGTAAGATATATAAAACTTCGCAGTAGTATTTTAAAATGCACTTTTTTTTTTTTTTTAATAATTACTATGTTTTGATATATATCTACCTATATGTTTCTTCTTAAACATGAAGAAGATTACTGGAAAGGGGTATAAACAATTTTATGTACTTGGATGTGACTAGTTAGATTTTCTATAATTTACCTTATCAAACTTTTCTTAATCCGCTTAGAATTATGTGATCCTGAACTTGATTGATTATTCATAATAATAAAGAGGATTATGATGATGGCGCGGCTGGTGTAACAACTATCAATAATAAGATAGATTTGTTGTGGCATGCTTGTGTTGTATCTAAAATATAAGTAATCTATCTTTTCCTATATTAGGCATTTTCCATATAGGATAATAAAGGCATTTTGAAGTATCCATGATTCTTTGGTCTGTAATATTTTTGCAAGCTAATAATTAATTGCTTTTATATTACTAGTATGAGAGGAGTTGAAAAAAGAACTGAGAATGTGAAGACAGATCAAGATCCCAGTGGGTGGCGCCCTTATCATGTGTTTCTGGAATCCCTTCGGGAGAAGTATGCGAAAAATGAAAGTTTACAAGGTAACATTGTGCTTCCTTCCCTTTTTCTTTTTCTTTTTCTTTTCTGGTGGGGACTTTTTAATGGAAAGATGTGTTATCCAGGAGTGGCAAAAAATCACATGCTTTTGTCTTAGTTGTGCTTGACTAAAGTAGCGATCTTGCTGGTGGTGGTGCATGGATTTGTCTGTGATTAGTCCAACATCAAGTACCTCCATGATACAGCATTTTTAGCTCTATGCTTAAAATTAAATTTCCAAACATGTTTTGATATGTTAGTTTTTTCTTCCTTTTAAGTAAAAAAAATTACTTATTTAAAAATTAATGCATTCATGATTATCAAAGTAAACTTATTTCCAACTTCGATCAATTAAAAACAATATTCATTTTGGAAGTTATAAGTAAACTGTAAGCTTAGCCTAACATGCTCATATGTCTCGTATTCATGAGTTTCCCAACACAGCACTGGGCATTTTCGTTCTAAGAGCTTAGTATGGGTTGAGTTGCAGATGAGAAAGAAGGGGTAACTGTGAGACGCAGGGGTCGTCCACGCAAGAAGCAGAATATACAAGGAAAAAGACTTTTCGATGAGCAACCTTCAAGCGATGAAGAGGATTCAATCAGTGGCTCCGATCAAGATGCTGAAGATGAAAACCAAATGCAAATAGAGGAAGAGGATGCTCCTTTGATACATACCATTAGATCAACGTCGAAACTAAGATCTTTAAAGGTGCCTAGAGAGGACTATAGTAACCAGCAAAAAAGTGGGGATTCTGGTCGAGCAACAAAGAACTTAGCTACTTCCAGAACTTCAGGTACATATTTTTCATCATATGTGCAAAACTTGACTTGATGGGTTAATTTTACTTAGGACTCTTAACTGGACGGAAAAGAAAATAAGCCCCCGTTTGTTTCTCATTTTTTGGAAGAACGAGAATGAAAAATATCGTCATTATAGGCCCCTTCAAATTTAGTGGCTTGATGTGATGATAAAGGTCATATTTTTCATTTTAATGAGAAAATAATGGGAACCAAACAAGGGCTAAATGTAGACAAAAAAGAGCTAAATTTTGTTTATCATGTTGTCCAATCATATCTAGTGCTGCATAACAAACATGCATTAAATGTATCACGTAATTTCTGGTTTTGGTTTCTGCAAGTTGAACCAAGAAATGCATTACGTAAATCAGAATGCAACCTTGAGGTTTCACCAGCAGAGAAGCTAGAGGGTAATTTATAAATTTCTTCCTCGTGGATTTTGTGAATCTGAAGAAAAAATTTGACTCACCCCATCTGTGGTGAATTGTATATGTTCCAGACTCTATTAGTTCCCCCAGCTGTACTTTTGAGTATTGCTCATTCATATCAACTATACTCTTTCAGAGCATAGTTAACCTGTATTGTGTTAGTACTGGTTAAGTCTACTGTGGTATTTGTAGATCTTCGCCTTCTGGCTTTTTGACTTGATTTTACAATCTCAGAAGGTATTTTTATTGAATTATTTTCATGTTTCTTCAATCTCGCCTGCTCCTGAGAACTGCTAATTACAAACTGTTAGAAGCATGATGCTTCATGTATTACCATTAGAATTCACTTGTCTCGGGCTAGATGTATGGCTACGACTCTCCCTTCCACCAGTGGATAGTGGAAGTTAGTTATTATACCCATCAAGGCAAATAACGTACTCTGGCAAAACTGAACGAAAAAAGAAATATGAATATTTCACATTTGATTTACTGGAGTTCGTTTGTATTGTGCAGGGGCTTCCGGTTAGCCTCCCTTGAAGAGGAGGCAGTGGTTTCAGGTCATCCGTTCCAAAATGTCGCTAGTATGAGTATTGGGGCCTCGAGACTAACACTTCTCGACTTCAGCAAGAAAATATCGTGTAAACTTTAAGAGTGGTGGGTTAATCTTATTCAGTGTTGCTTTCTTTTTATGTTTAGTTGAGCAATGTACGTCTTTTAAATAATACAAATACCAGGTAGATGATATAAATACTTGTGTTAATTTGGTTTCACGTGAATATTATTCACGATGTGTTAGCATTTTTTACTTTTTATTATAATTGATGTCATCATTGCATGACCTACTTAATTCAATTTGAATTAACAAAAATTCTTTACTTGTAAGGTAACAGCACTGGTATTACTTGTATGGTAATGTGTGTTCACCACAATAACTTTTGACATATCCTAGCCAAAAATAATCCAAACACAACCATTGTTGTTACCACGGTCAAAATCAATTTTCCAAACGCTATCACCATCTTTCAAATCTTGGCATTAAGCGAATACAAGTATTATTTATGAGGTGGTAGCACACGATTTACCACCGTCATAATTCTACATATCGTAACACCAAATTTTTTTTTAAAAAATCCTAACACTGTCAATCGACATCTTCCGCTGTCACTGCAACTGTCAGCATCGAAATCAAGTTCCAAAATACTACCACCATCTTCAGAATCTCATCAATACCACCACCAACATTAGCCAACTAAGCCAAAAACAACCCAAACGCCGTCAATTTGGCCCACCTAAGCTCATAAGCAAATCCAAACATATCCTCATGAGCACTGACATCCATACATACGAAATTTTTGTAAGCACTTATTTCACTTATAACATAGCTCCATTTTTTTTTTCATAAAAAGCGCACACAAACAAGGTCATACACTTGTTTCAAAAGGCCTATCCACATTGAGTTGTTAATTTTAGGCTGACATTTGTTGTTCCATCTCTCCTTTTTTTTTTTCCGCATACATACAAAAATTAATTTAGAATTTGTCTGGCAAGGTATGTATTGATAGAATTTTTGAAAAATAAGGGTAAATGATTAGTGTAATAATAAGCAGATCTTGCAAGATGGATGGATAAAAATTTTCATGAAAATTATTTTTCTTTAACAAAAAAGTGTACCGGGTAATGTCCGTTTCTTTTGTCCTTGGATTGTGACCGTGCAAATCCCAAAAGGGAAACAGAAAAAATGTCTAAAGAAGGGCTTTTCTAATTTTTCTATTGGCCCAACAAAGTTGTAATGATGAGAGTTGCCCTCTTCCATTTCTCTATTCAATTTAGGGATTGTTTGGACCTTCCTTTAAAAAATAATAACAAAGGAAGTGTATTGTCCTAAAAGTTCACAAGAAAATATACATTTTTCTGCATCGTTTATATATATATAACTATTTCGAAGTCAATAGCCTATTTATAGATTTTCAAAACATAGCTGATGATCTCAGATCTTGTCAATCCTGAACTCGTCCAGTGAACCCCGATCATATCATAAACCCCAGTCTCCATATCCCCTAAAAACACCAAAACAAGATCGGGCATTTGAGGTCGGGACATGTATGTCGACTCGTCAGCATTTCTAGACAACCTATGGGAACACTAATCCTTCTTTGACCACAATCCCTACCCTGTTAGACTCCTTCTTTGACTCAAACAGTGATTTGAATACTTGAGGTAGAACATTAACTCCTTTTCCTGCGAGGATAAGGATCGTGATAGAATGAGTCCTTCTAGGACTCCACCGCTAGCATCTATAGATATACAACCTGTGCTCATTCTTGAGGTATGTTTTTCATTATCTTCAGCTTATAACCTCATGCACTAAATTCCCTATCTGACTTAAGCATCGGAGGGGCGACGAGCACACACTTCGTTGCCTTTTTTGCAATTATTCAAAAATCGTTCGTGTTCATCAAAGTGAAGTTCGATCATCAAGTTCGAGATCTTTCAGGTAATATTTTTTGGTAGCATCATTGGCGCCGTCTGTGGGAACACGCTACCAAAAGCCATGGTCAATACACGTTCAGGTCTTCCTCTAGCAAGCTCATCCATCCCGGATAACTCTCCTTCTCCTGAGGAACGCCATATCCCTCAAGAAGAATCTTCGGAGATGCCAGCACCTCCTCAAGCTGCTATTTCCGCTGGAGCTTTTGAGGAACTTCGTCAGCAGGTGGTTGCATTAACCTAATTGTTAAGCCAGAGAAATTCGCACCCGTCGCATACCCCAACACCTGAAGGCGACTTCATAGCAGATGCCCGGGCTCGAGTTCATCATGCAGCCCATGATGACGGTGGGGTTGGAACTTCAGGTGTACCACAAGTGGCATCAGGTTCAAGGTCCATTACGATGGATTCCGCTGAACTTGCTAGAATTATTCAAGAAGGGATAACAACGAGAATGCAACAAAATACTCGGGCAGCAACAGGATTCACCCCCAATACACCATTCACTCCAGAAGTCCTCTCGTATCCCCTTCCCGATATGTTCAAGTATCCTCGGATAAAGAAGTATAGGACAACCGACCCCATCAATTATCTCAATGTGTACACGGATATTATGAACTTATAGGTTGCACCTAATGCAGTTATGTGCAAGGCATTCCCCCAAACCCTCACAAATGCAGCTAGAGATTGGTTTTCCACATTGGAACCGAACTCCATCACCTCCTTCTTAGATTTGGCCGATAAGTTCTCCGCTTTCTTTACGAGCAGCAAGCGAATCAGAAAGACAGCCGCATCACTCATGCAGATGCGTCAAGGACCCAACGAAACACTGCACAGTTTCATGACTAGGTTCAATAAAAAATGGCTTCAGATTCTCGATCTAAAAATCACAGCTGTAGTCTCAGCTCTGACATACACCATTAAGTGCGAAGCATTCAAGATGTCCTTGTCTAAGACCTCGCCGAAGTTAGTCACCGAGCTATTCACACGGGTTGAGAAGTACATCAATATGGAAGAAACCATGGCCCCGAAAAGGGAAGCTACATTATTAGGGAGGTTGGATCAGAAAAGGCCGCATGAGTCCAGCTTAAGACGAGACACCTAGGGACAAACCAAGGAAGATTCTCCTTCAACGTCTTTTACCCATTTGAACACTTCAAGGTCCAACACCCTGATGGAAATCAAGGATTCTAGGGAACTAAAGTGGCCTCCCCGATTGCGGTCTCCCCCCCGATACTCGTGATAAGAGTAAATACTGTGATTTCCATAGAGATCACAGGCATACAACAGAAGACTGTCTGGCCTTAAAGAGGGAAATCAAAGCTCTTATAAAAAGGGGATTTATGAGCTCTTACATTAGCAATGACAAGCGCCCGAGGAATAATCAGAACGAAAGCAAAGGCCTAGAAGATCGGGGAAACAAACAACTAACTGCAAGCACTATCAATATCATTGTCGGAGGAACAGCCTCAGGAGGAGATTCTAGCAGCGGGAGTGAATAGTATGCCAGGCAGCCTCCAATCATCTCGAGATCAGATCTTGGCCGTACAGAGGACATCACTTTTGAAACAGATGACTTGGAAGGCATAGCGTTCTCTCATGATGATGCCCTTGTCATATCGGCCATCTCGCCAACTTTGAAGTCAAGAGAATTCTGTAGATAACGAAAGTGTAGCAAACGTACTGTCTCATGAAGCCTTTGTTCAAATGGGAATCTCATCAAAGCAACTCAAGCCAGTCAAAACACCCCTCCAACGATTTGGAGGTGGGGTCATCACCCCGGAAGGTATCGTCAAGTTACCCTTAACACTGGGGGTCGAGGGTAAACAGGTGATGCAAATCACTACCTTTGAAGTTGTCTGTACGCCAATGGCTTACAACGCCATATTGGGAAGACCACTACTCAACAGAATTCGAGCTATCGTCTCAACTTTTCACCTGGCTCTGAAATTCCCTACTTCTAATGGAATCGGGGTAGTCCGAGGCAACCAAACGGTGGCCCGACAATGTTATGTGACTAGCGTTTGAAAAATAAAAAATGACGTCATGCAAGTTATAGAGCTCGAGCTCGAGCACGAAAATCATGAGAGGCTGGCTCCGGTGGAAGGATTGGAAGAGGTCGAGATCGAGCCTAGAAGAAAAGTCACAATTGGTCAGGGGTTAGATACAGCGGTCATGTCTGAACTTCTAAGTTGTCTCTCCCGTAATATTGATGTATTCGCTTGGAATGTTGAGGACATGCTTGGAATTGATCCAGAGGTTGCAGTATATAAACTTAACGTAAACCTAGAAGTAAGACCTGTGAAGCAAAGGAAGAGGTAGTTCACACCAGAAAGACGAGAAATCATAAAAGAGGAAATTGCCAAACTTGTTAACGCACAGTTCGTTCGAGAAGTACAATATCCCGAATGGCTTGCCATCGTGGTTCTTGTCAAGAAAGCTAATGGAAAGTGGCGAGTTTGCATTGACTTCACAGATCTGAATAAAGCATGTCCCAAAGACAGTTATCCCTTACCTTGAATTGACAATCGGGTAGATAGCACGTCAGGCCGTATGCTGTACAGTATCTTGGATGCTTTCTCAGGGTATCACCAAATTCTCATGGCAGAAGAAGATCAAGAAAAGACCTCGTTTATGGCAGATTCAACCATCTACTGCTACAGGGTCATGCCCTTTGGATTGAAAAATGCTGGAGCAACATATCAAAGGTTAGTGAACAAGATCTTCGCCAAGCTAATTGGGAAAACGGTTGAAGCATATGTGGATGATATGATAGTTAAGAGCAAACAATTGAATAGCCATGTTTCTGATCTAGAGGACGTGTTTGCTACGTTACGGAGGTACAACATGAAGCTCAATCCGGCAAACTGTGCATATGGGGTGGCATTTGGAAAATTCTTGGGTTTTATGATCACGCACATAGGAATAGAGGCGAATCCAGATAAAATACAAGCTTTGATAAGTATGGAGGCCCCTAAGTGCAAAAAGGACATTCAGAAGTTGACAGGTCGCGTAGCAGCACTGAACATGTTTGTTTCCCGGGCCCTTTTTCAAACTACTTAGGGAAAATAAAGGTTTCAACTGGAACGAAGAATGTAACTTAGCTTTTCAGGAGCTCAAGCAAACATTATCAACTCCTCCAGTCCTTACTAAACCCGAACCCAGTGACAAGCTGCTATTATACTTGGCTGTTTCTCACAATGCAGTAAGCGGTGTCTTGGTAAAGGAAAAAGGAAGAGTTCAGCAACCTGTTTACTATGTAAGTAAAGTGCTCCGCGATGCAGAAACACGATACACGATTGTAGAATAGCTCGCCCTTGCTTTAGTAATAGGTGCCAGAAAATTACGGCCGTACTTCCAGTCACATCCAATTGTTGTGCTCACCAACCAACCTCTCAGACATATACTTCAAAAGCAGGACGTCTCAGGAAGAATACTGAAATGGGCAATTGAACTCGGCGAATTTGACATAGAGTTCAAGCCACGACCTGCAATCAAGGCCTAAGCTTTAGCCGACTTCATAGTAGAGCTTACTCCGAGATCCTAAGAAACACCGGCCAAGGGCTTGAACTCGATCTTAGAAATATCGAAGATTTTTGTTGACGGAGCATCCAATAGCTCGGGCTCGGGGGCCGGCATTATCATCACAAGGCCGGATAAGACTACGGAGATACAATGCGCTCTCAGATTTGAATTCGAAGTTACCAATAACGAAGCAAAGTATGAAGCTGTTGTTATAGCCCTAGAACTCGCGAAAAATCTTGAGTGCGAGCGCATCAAAGTTTTCAGTGACTCACAGCTAGTGATCGGACAAATCGAGGGGTCTTTCGAAAGAAAGGATGAAAAAATGAGCTTATATTATTTGAAAGTACATGACCTCTAGAGGCAGTTCGTAAGTTGTGAAATTCTGAAGGTAGCCAGAGTCGAAAATGCCAATGCTGATGCATTGTCCATACTCGTCTTCATGGGTGTGGACGAGCTCGATAGAACCATGCACATCAAGATGGTTGTAGAACCAAGTATAACTCAGAAGCCAAGTGTCATAGACATCGACCATGAGCCCTCCTAGATGGATCCAATAGTTGATTACATAAGTAATGGTAACATTCCTGTAGACCCTCGGCTTGCCAGAAGCATTCAATATAGAGCTGCTAGATATTGTATAATTGAAGGAGTCCTATTTCGCAGGAGTTTCACACTCCCCTATCTAAGGTGTCTCAAACTTTCCGAGTCTCTTCAAGCAATGACTGAAGTTCACGAAGGTATTTGTGGAAATCACCAGAGAGCCCGAGCTCTTGCATGTAAGTTGATAAGGTATGGATACTACTGGCCAAGTTTGAAGAAAGATGCCATAGATTACGTCTGGAAGTGCGACAAGTGCCAAAAGTTTGGCCACGTCATACATGCTCCTGCTGAGGAACTAACATCCATTCACTACTCGGCTCCCTTGGAGCAATAGGGAGTTGATATTCTTGGGCCTTTCCCCTTGGCCCGAGGATAATTAAAATTTGTAGTTGTGGCAGTAGAGTATTTTACAAAGTGGGTAGAAGCTAAACCTCTAGCAACAATTTCAGAGCCGAAGCTCAGGTCATTCATATGGAAGTCCGTCATATGCAGTTTTGGGATACCAAAAGTCCTCATCATAGATAATGGAAGGCAATTCAACAATCCCCAGTTCAGGAACTTCTACGTTAGCAATGGGATTGATCATCGCTTGACCTCGATCTCACACCCACAAAGTAATGGGTTAGCCGAAGTAACTAATCGGATCATATTGCAGGACCTCTAAACAAGGATAGGGGACGCCAAAGGTGACTGGCCTGACGTACTGCCTTCGATAGTATGGGCATATAGGACTTTGCACAAGACAGAAATTGGTGAAATGCCATTCATACTTGCTTTTGGGCTTGAGGCTACCATCCCAATCGAGGTTAGCCTCCCCACAATAAGAAAGCTTGAGACAAATAGGGAGACGCAAACTACCTAGCACCTTGACTTGCTTAAAGAGGTAAGAGAGCAAGCCTCACTTAGGACTGCGAGTTATCAAAACAGAATGGCAAAGCACTTCAACAAAAAGGTCCAGACCAGGAGATTCAGAGTTGGCGATCTTGTCCTTAGAAAAGCAGAAACCGTCAGACACCAACCAGGAAAACTTGGGCCGACATGAGAAGGACCCTACGAGGTCATAAGAAAACTTAAAGGTGGAGCCTATAGCCTCAGAGACACATTGGTGAAACCACTCCCAAGGCCATGGAACACTAATAATTTGAAAATATATTATAAGTGACTAGCTATAGCTATAATTTTCCTTTAGGGCTTGCATGCCCGCTTTATGTTTTCTTAATTTCGTTTTTACTGTTCGGGCTTTAATGCCCTGTTAGCTCATGCTCGAATAAGCTCGGGTATCAAACGCCCTTGAGCCTTTTTAATAGCACGTAGAATTTTCTTTATGATGTTGATTCCCTATTAAATTAGCGTAAGGCCGTGCCCCGCTCAAGCAACTAATACTTTTACAAAATTAGAATAAGGTCGTGCCCCGCGCATTTAGCTAATACCTTTACTAAATTAGATAAGGCCGTACATTGCGCATGCATCTAGTACTTTTACAAAATTAGCATAAGACCGTGCCCCATGCATGCAGCTAATACTTTTACAAAATTAGCATAAGGCCGTGCCCTGCGCATGCAGCTAGTACTTTTACAAAATTAGCATAGGGTAATTAGCATAAGGCCGTACCCCGCACATGCAGCTAATACTTTTACAAAATTAGCATAAGGTCGTGCCTCGCGCATGCAGCTAATACCTTTACAAATTCCACACATGACCTCAGGCAGTAATATGCCTGACCTCATGGATCCCAGAATAACGAGCAATGAAATAATCGTTAGATCGAGGTCGGGGGCATGATATAATTATATCATCCCCGACTTTATCGATCCCAAAATGCTCAACCAAGCATGAATTCTGAGATCGAGGTCGTGGCATGATATAATTGCCCCTCATATAACCATAACCGGCGTTCCCGACCAATTGGTCTACCCTCTATATAAGTAAGAAATCAAATCAATAACTAGTTGCCCACAACAATACCCCGCTGAACTTGGA